ACTTGGATCCGGACTTGTAAGAATGTTAAGGTTCAAGTCCAAAAAAACCTAAAAGTCAAGAACCGAGTCCGGACTTATTACCATAAAAGACCATTTCACATACCCCTTTTCTTTCCATACCACCTAAAACCTTCTGTACATAGCAAAATCTTTGCTGCAAAATGAAGAAAACATTGCCATCGGGCATCGTCAAGTGTCTGCCTCCATGTTAAGTGGTCAAAGTTTCACCCAGACAACATTGCAAGGTTGCCAACATGCAATTTTGTATATGTCATGGGTTTAGGTCCGGACTTACAAGTCCGGAACTGAACCTAAACCTCTGGACTTGAATCCGGACCTGAACCTAAAATTGAGTTTAGGTATGCATCACTAGTGGAAAAGCTAAAAAGACCAATCAGACTCTTAGTTCATATTTGAATAAAATGAATGTACATCACCAGATTTGTCCCGGACGTATAATGACAATGATGATCATGAATCTAACAATTTTTCTGGACAACTCCTAACAAGCAGTTGCAGCTCATTCTTAAACCTGAAGAATACCTGGTTGCTTAGTAACTCTATGAATGATTCTTACCTACATGTATTATAATGTGTATAATTACTGTTCCAGGAAAGCTGCCCTCAACATGCTGTTCTGCAGACGATTCTGGAACCTTCTAAAGGTCATCTTCCCGAAGCTGATCTCACCAACGTTCCTCATGTTCTGCACACTTCTGGCTGTTTGTCTACTGGGTGAGTAACAAGAGTTTTGTTTTCAATTTATAAAGACTCATGTAATTTATTTATTTACTTCATCATAAAACAGCTGGGTAGCCCGTTCAGCTAGTAGAAGCTGCTTTCCAATGACAAAATGCAATGACAGTGTAGAATAGAGTAGATTCATTCCTGAAGTAAAACGAGATGAGGACAAGGGGGGAGGTACAAACTTAGCCACGTTTAGGATTGCGTTCTCACTGCAAAAGTACCACCTACATCAGCTACATATATAGCGACTTTTCAAGTGCTCAAGGTGGGAGAGGCCAGGGGTCCCGGTAACACAATAGCTTCAAAATTAACGTATTACAATTTCATTACAACTTACACTAGTCACAGCATCGTTTCTATGGTCCAGTCCTGATCAATTCCATAGTGGATTATTGCAGCATGTTCTTAAATGCTGCCACTGAGGGTGCTATTCTTACATTTGGCGGTAAACTGTTCCATGTCGTTGCACCCGAGTACGCTATTGATCTCCTGTATAGCTCTCTACGGACCATCGGTACATGCAATCTGTTTGACATTTAGTTCTTGACTTGCAGTGAATGAGTGATTATCAAACATGCAAATGACTTATTATGTACATATCACCTCATGCATGATTATAGTCACAGGTTTCTGTCTGTGTTTGCAGAACAAGTGGTGATCTACCAGACCGGCCTGATTCCCAGCCAGTTCGTGAAGATCCTGGCAGCAGAGAATCCTCAGAAGTCAGAGTTCATGACCAGACTGTGGCTGTCCCTCATCATTATTGGGCTCAACTCAACTGTAAGAAGGTTTACATTAGTTGGAAAACAGGATAGATTTGAATAACCTCTACCAGGCTTCGGAAGGGGCAAATGTACCCCCTCACTGGACCAACTCCTGGCTGATTTCTACTACATGTATTTCCAGCTGCCTCTGAAAACTGGTAGAGGCTAAGGTCACACCAATTTAATTTCTTGGTTAACGGATTTCTCTAGAAAAATAACGGAGCGGGCGGCCAAAAAAAATAAAAACAGGCCTTAGGCATCCTACATGTATTATGGCCCAAAATGGTACGATAGGAGCCATGAAGTCAACACACCAGGCTGGTTCAAAATTTAAACAATGAATTTTGAACTTTTAATGATACCATTGCATTGAAAGATGGAATAACTGTAACAAAGTAAGGATGAAAAGGACTGTTT